TTTTTTTTTTTTTTGTTTTTTACTTTTCACTCTTATGAATGACAATTTTGACAAAAATGTTGTGTAAGAAAGAGAAGTAAAAGTTATGATGATATTCGGCTTTTTATCTAGTATATATAGTAATAATTGCCCAGACATTCTACTGTCCCATTACGAAATCATTCCGTCGGGATTTGTAACCGTAAATCAACTATCCATGACGGTTACATATTCATCTAACGCTTACAAATTCCGACAGAATGATTCCATAACGGGACTGTAGCATTTTTCAATAATTACCTATGCAAGGTTAAACTACGAGAATTCACAGAAATATACAAATGCATAAAAAACACGAGAAAGACGTGGAAAGCTTATTAAAAACAAACGTTTAATAAATCTCAAATTTCGTCCAGTTTATCTTACTTATGTTTTTCAGTTGTCTGTCATCCCGTGTTGTTGATTTCTAACATCAACATGTTATATTCATACTTTTCTAATATATCTATATATAAATATATGTATATATATTGTAATAAAGTACAAAAATATATATATATATAATAAAGTACAAAAATGCTACAATTAAAATTTGTATAATATATAAAAATTTGTATATTATTATTTAGATTGGTGGATATGGAAATTGCCTCTACTCCAAATTCTGTCATGTTTGAAGTTCATGAGTACTCTCGATCGTACATTAAAATGGTACAAACCCAGAACATATATATAGAGCACATGATGGGCATATCTGTTTTCATAAAAATCAATTTTTAAAATTTCTCCTTTTTTTTTATCCAGAATTATATAATTATAATGACAAAACAAAGTTACTGTTTATATATTAAAATAATTTCTCCTTTTGGCGGGAGTCAAGGACATACGCTTGGCTCTCCATACTGTTGTTCAGATCGATAAGTTGAACGTGCCACGATGAGGAGAGGGGGATGCAGGGCCAGTCTCTAGAAATTCGGAGGCCCTAGGCAAGTTTATTCTTTTCGAATTTTCTCGATTTGAACTTACGTGGTAATTAGGGCTATTCGCAGATAGAATCATAAATTTTAACGAGACTATTAAATAAATAAATAAATAATTGAAAAAAAAAAATTCTTGTTTTTCTTGGACGTGGAATTGATAAATTACCTCGGGGCTACAAAGATCTTTAATAAATTACAATCAACCAATAACGAAGACAACAAAGAGAAAAAAAAAAATCATATCACTACGAAAAATATTTATTTTCACACAACTTGTTCTGACCGAACATCATATGAAAACAAATGAAATATTTAGGGCCTCAATTTTCCACACAAACTACATATTTTGCCATTAGCTCATTCATTTGTGTAATGGCTCAAGCCCATATTTAGCCATTAACCCTTTCATTTGTGTAAATATTGTGTAAATAGACAAAATCCAACATAAATACATAATATTAAAAAAATAATGAGGCATTATTTGTGTAGATAGACAAAACTCAACACAAATACATAATATTAAAAAAGAAATAATGAGGCCCCAAATAAAATAGAGGCCCTAGGCCCATGCCTAGGTTGCCTCCCCTTTGGAGCCGCCCCTGGGGGGATGGGGTGGTGGGATGTCGAGGGTAGCGGATGGGACGCACGTGGGGTGCTCTGCTCCCGATCGCCTGCTTCGCGGGTCAAAGATGGTGGCGATGACGACACCATCTCCTAGGTGTATCTTTTTGGAGCGATGGAGTTGAGGGACAAGGACCAGTTCATCGACGATTGGTGTTGGGAGTTATTGTTCCGAGTCGAGATCAATTTTCAGGAGCGTTTGCGGACGCGCAAGGGACGATCGAGTATGAGGGTCCATCTTGTTTTGATACAATTTTTTGCAGCTAGTTTTAGAGCGAAATCGTTACATTTTGCATTAGTTAATTAATTACTTATATCTTAATTTATTATATTACATAATAGCTACTACTAACTACTTATAAAGTCAGACTAAATGCAATAAAGAACAATATACCAAAAATATGTAAGTTAAATAATTTATATTTATATTATTTTTTTATTAATTATAAAAAATATAAGATATGATATGTTCATTATCTATCTATACTTATATTAAAAGCTATACTATTTACTAAATGTAGTATGTAGAATAGTCAACCTTAATTAATAATTTGCTATTTTTATCAAGCATTTAATTAATGCATCTAATATTTTTGGTATACAGATCAAATTAGCATTTAATTAGTTCTTAAAATATTTGGTATGCAATATTAATTTAGGAAATTCATGTAGTTCTTAAAATGTTGGTATGCAATCCGTAAAAGGAGATTTTTTAATTTTTTTAAATATAAAATATTGCAACACGTAAAACTATTTCAGTTATTTTTTATTTTATTTTACATTTAAAATTTAATCAATATTTAATGCATCCTACAAAATTGGATGGAAATAAAAAAGTACGTAAAATCTTTACTAAAATAAAAAAAAGCTTTACTTATTATCTAATTTATTACTAATTGTATGGAAATCTGTTCTGATTTTATGGTACGTACTACAAAGTGTGCACCCGTGTTCAGGAGCTACTTAACGGGCAAGCTCTGTGAAAATAACTTATTTAGTGTTTCTGTCCCGTGCATACAGTATGTATTTGTATTACACATACTAGAAAATTGTGCACCCCGTGCATCGCACGACTCTGTACTAATAAATGACCTTAAAATTGTGCACCCCGTGCATCATCTGTGTTCACATCTTGACCTATTACATGTCACGTACTATATATATCCCGTATATTTTTCTTTATTCATTTATATAATTATAAGACTTGATAAATGACTTTTGTGCACCCCGTGCATCGCACGGGATCTGTACTAGTCTTATGATTATAACTCGTATACATACTCACATATGACTAAAAAAAAAAAAAATGCGTATATCTCCATATAGGATCGTGTACTAGTATTATTATATTATATAAAAATAAAAAGGAATGCAAAAAATAAAAATAAAAAAAAAATCAAGCGTTATAAATGTGTTTGACTTGAATATGCGGATAACAAAATTAAAATCCTCACAAATATTTGAATCACTAAAAAGGCATGAAAACTCTTCTCATTTTGAGCATTTTTTTTTTTTTTTTTTNTTTTTTTTTTTTTTTTTCCTCATCAATCATCATAATGGCCCCAGATTTTGAGTCAAAAGAAGTGTTTAAAATCCTTCATTTCCGTTACCCAAAAGGCAAATTCACACAAATTCGACCTTTCGGTGGCTTGTGCCCCATGAAACTAAAATTTATAGTAATCCAATTGCACGCAATCCATAAAGTCTGGAGCTATCGGATGGCTCTTTTATGGAGTCATTCGTACCTTTACGTATTGATACGTGTCCAATTTGTATTTTATTGCAGAACACGTGTCAATACAGAATTGGTGGAAAACTATAGATGACTTCATAAGTCGAGCCATCCAATAACTCTATAGCAAAATCGACACACAATCATGTGCATACAGCTGTGCAAATGTATTTGAATCCGACGGCTAAAACTTGTTGGATGAAACCAACCCAAGATTGGAATGAAATCAATCTCAAATTTACACTCATTTAATCCCAAAAAAATGCCAAATCTTGGCATAAAATCAATCTCAATATCCACACCTTAAATCCCCTAAAGTCAATAATGGAATAAAATCAATCTCAATTTCCTCACATTTAATACCAATACACAAAAAAATAATTGTAAACACTTTCAACTAAAAATCCCTATGATATCCATTTAGCATATATATGTGCCTAAATGAAATTATTACAAACACAAAAAAAAAAAAAAAAAAAAAAAAAAAAAAAAATGGAATTATCAAAAACTCATACTATAGCTCTTACATTTTTTGTATTTTGCATTACTAATGTCAATGGCTGGGGAATTGATGGTCACCACATTATCTGCAAACTTGCTCAGGTTTAATTTTCTCATATTTAACTAATAAACAATTAAATTTTCTGGGTTTTTATACATTTACTTTGTTTTTTTGTGGCTAGCCGAGGTTGTCCGAAGCAGCCGCAGATGCCGTAAAAGAACTTTTACCGGCCTACGCCGAAGACGACCTAAGCAGCGTGTGTTTGTGGGCCGATCGAGTCCGGTTTCGTTACCATTGGTCCGCGCCTCTGCATTACATAGATACTCCTGATAATCTCTGCACTTATCAGTACAAAAGTAAGTACATTAATTAAAAGATATATAAAGATTGGCGGCTTCATATCCGCCTGGCCTGCCTATAGGGCTAGGAGTTTGGTTGGAGCGATAGAAAGAGGGGAGGTTTTGTGATTATAAAACTATGTTGGGGTTCTTTTGTAATGTGGATAAAAGTTGAAGGGTGTTGTTTGAAAATATATATTTAATTGCAGGGGACTGTAAAGATGGGGATGGAATAGCTGATAGGTGTGTTGCAGGGGCAATCAACAACTACACCACACAACTTCTCAGCTATGCCAATGCCTCTTCTGCTTCTCAATGTAAAATAATAATCTTTTACATAAATGCAAATTTCTAGAGCGAGACGGTTAGACTGGTCGACCAGTCATACTTTTTTATCAAATAATTAAAAAAAGTACACTTATATTATGAAATGTCGTACTTTTATTTAATTGTTTTTAGAGTATGATATCTTTGGTTTAAAACTTTGATGTTAAAAGTTTTTATATTTTTTTGTCAGATAATCTCACAGAAGCACTTATGTTCCTATCTCACTTCATTGGAGATATTCATCAGGTATTTTTTTGGTATAACGTTGATTATTTTTCTCGATTTCACGCCAAAAAATATGAAAATTTGGCACATAAATTCGATATTAATTTTCGAATTTTGGTGTTTGTATATATATATATAATGCAGCCTCTGCATGTCGGATTCACGACCGACAGGGGAGCAAACGCAATCGACGTCCATTGGTACAGAAGAAAATCAGTTCTTCACCATGTGAGAGCTAATAATAATAACAAACAAAAAATTTGCAGCAAAATTGTGTAATATTCCAAATGTATGTATGTATGTATAAAACATGTAACTAAACTTCAGAATTTTTGTTCAGGTGTGGGACACTGACATTATAGAGACAGCCGAAAAAAAGTTTTACGGCTCAAACGTCGATGGACTTATCGATGTACTCCAAAAAAACATAACGGTACATTTATATTCTAACTATTTTTTTTTTCTTCGCGATTTTCGATCAAAATAGGAACTTTATTTTGCCATGCTTATTGTTTTTTATGACAAGACTGTATGGTCTGAACAAGCAACGGAATGGGAGGCTTGCGACACGATAGCTTGCCCGGATTTGTAAGTTTATAACCGATATTTTATTTTATTTTGTTTTATATTTTAATTTTACGCATGAATGTAAGTAACACTCGGAGAAAATTGCATCTAATTTTTCGACAGATATGCATCTGAAGGCATTAAAGCAGCTTGTGACTCGGCATATAAAGGTGTCGAAGAAGATTCTGTTCTCGAAGGTAGTTTTATTTTTATTTTTTTTACTTTTTCCTATGAGTTCATAAGTTTATGCAATAATCACATCACAAAATAACATGGGAAAAACATTTTTGTTTATTTTTGTAGATGACTATTTTCTGTCACGAATGCCGGTCGTTAATCTGAGGTTAGCTCAAGGTGGAGTTCGATTGGCGTCCACACTTAACCGTATATTTGGATGATCGCATTTCGATTTTATTAAAAGGTAAAAAAAAAATGGGGAAAAATGAAAGAGAAAGAAACTATCCGAATCAATGTCTATTATTATTATTAATCATGTCGAACATTTTACATGACATTATCTATGTACGAACGAACGAACGAACGCTATTTATTGTGAATATGAATCGTGTTTTACTTTCTTGCATTGTCTTGAAATACATAAAACTCATCATTTGTTGTTACAATGGAGATTATTAAGGAACTCTGTAAGCTTAGATTTTACTTCCACCGGAATACGAACAGGACAGTAATTTTTATCGAGCCAAACTGCTGTCGATTTCGCCTCGAGAATTGGCTGAATATGTAAAACACAACTACACATTAATGCTTAAAGATTCATAATTTTTATTATAAAATATTCATAACTTTTATTATAAAATTAAAATATGAAAAAAAAAAACTCTAAATTGGGAAGCTTGTAAATGAAATACTCGAAGAACATCCGAGCAGCAGAAGAGTCGCATAATCTCGCCTGCAAACGAACTCGTCTCCACTCTTTTAAAGTTGTGAAAAAATCCCAACATTAGTTAGTTAAGCAATGAAAATTTCGAAAAAAAAAATAAAAATGAATCAGCTTCATATTTTTTAAAAAATGAAACCGTCTGTTCTGATTTTGCATCATAACCAGAACCGAAGGTTTAGCGCCAAAATTAAATTTTGTTATTATTTATTTGTTTTATATTCAGCGCCAAACCGGTCCTGAACCGTCGAGCCAATTCTGTACTGGGACCGCCGGTTCGTTGAACCAGCTCTTAGTCTTTACGGGGCCGATTTTGGTTCAACAAAAATGAGGAACCTAAACGTCCGGGTTTTGGTCATGTCTACTTCTACAATATAACATTAAGTATTTCAGAAAATGGAGTTGGGAGAGTAACTTTACAGAAGAGGTTAGCCCAGTGGTTTCCTGATATAGTGTGAGCCCCATAAGAGATTCTTGGCCTAATGGATAAGGGCCCAATAGTCACAGTGGACTTCTAAAATTAGCCCATTAATAGATATCAACATATCCACTAACTACTCAAGGCCTATATGGATTTCTCTTACATTTGGGCTACTTAGAGCATGCTTGGATATAAATTTATTTTTGTTTTGATTTGGGTTGGTTAAATTTGAAAAAGTAGGTATGGTTAGTTGTTAGTGGATATAATAAAATAATATTTAAAATAAAATAATTAAAATTAAATTGATGTAAAAGTAAGAGAGAGAAAATGTGATGTGATAGTTAGTTAAATTTATGTGAGTAGATGAATAGTGAATTAAGGTTGATGTTGTGTGTAAGAATGATTGATTGATATTATTTAATTATATTGATAATATTGATGATAGTGGGTTGAGTTAAAGTTGAGTTAAAAAAGTGGTTGAGTTAAAAATGTTTGAATTTTTTTGAGAAATTTTTGTATCCAATCATGCTCTTAAATTCTGTAGATAGTTTATGCTCGTATTAAGGAGCACTTGAATTTTGTAGATAGTTTAGGCTCGTATCAAGGAACATCGATGATTTGATGGAGCTCTTTATGTAAATTGTCCCCGTGAAATTTGAGAACAAAATTCAAGTGTTCCTTGATATGAGCTTAAACTATTTATAAAAGCAAAACTCTTTGACACGAGTATAAAATGTCTACAAATTCGAAGGCTCCTTGACACGAGTATAAAATGTCTATAAATCAAAACAAAAACTCCTTGACACGAGTATAAACTATCTATCAAATCAAATTAAGACTCATTGATACGAGTAAACTATCTACAAATCATGTCAAATGAAAAACTCATTGATACGAATATAAATTCTTTGTCAAATCAAATCAAGACTCCTTGATAGGAGTATAAACTATCTACATATCATGTCAAATGAAGAACTCCTTGATACGAGTATAAATTACTTGTCAAATCAAATCAATACTCTTTGATGCGAGTTTAAAATATCTACAAATCAAGTCAGATGAGGAACTCCTTAATACGAGTTTAAACTATCTACAAACTCAAGCCGAAAAACTCCTACGTAAGAGTTTAAATTATCTGCATGTCCAAATCAAATTCAAAATTTAGACTCATTCACTACCAAGAATTTTTGTCCGTGGACAAGTCTCAAGGGGACATTTATAGACATCGAAATTTTAATATTTTATTATTAATGTCTTTATCTATTTTTAGATATAATCCATGATAAATAAAGTATATAATTTATAATGTTATTAAAATTTCGATGTCTAAAAATGCCTCTTTGTTTATTGGAGGATCGCCACCTATTTTTCTTCTTCTTGGCCATTTTCTCCATTGAGCGTGCTTCGGAGGATTGGATCTTCGAGAACGTTTTCAAATCTTCAAGAGAGTTCTTGAGACTTTGATTTAAGAGGTGAATTAGATTTATGAGGTGTGATTTTGTGGCTATAAGGAGAGCCCTATTTATAGGTGTACGAGAAAGGATCTTGGAAAAGATGACATCAATTTGATTGGTCTTTCTTGATTTGATATAATCTCTTTCCTTGTCCTACGATTTGGTATAATTTCTTTCATAATCTTAAGATTTGACTTGGTGGGCAAGAAATAATAATTATTTATATACCTTATTAATTATCATAGATTTATGTCTAAAAATAAGTAAATATATTAATTAAAAAAAAATATGAGAATTTTGATGTCTACAAATGCCCCTTGTGACTTGTTCACGGACAAAATGTCTAGGTAGTGAATGAGTCTCAAAATTTTGAATTTGGTTTGGACATGAAGATAGTTAAAACTCTTATGTAAAAGTTTTTCGACTTGTATTTGTAGATAGTTTAAACTGATATCAAATACTTCTTTGTTTGACTTGATTTATAGATATTTTAAACTCGCATCGGGCGTGCCACTTAAATAAGTCGAGTTGTCACAAAGAGGTCTTAATTAATATTTCGATGTCTACAGGGTAGTCTAACGGTTAAATTAGTCGAGTTGTTATATTTTTTCATTGAAAAAAAAAAAAATGTATACTTATACTATACTATGAAACATTTACTTATAATTATGCTTGTTTATTAAAGTATAATGTCTCGTTTGTAAATATATTCATATCTGTTACAAAAATTTTGCTCCTTAATTGTGTGATTAGCTCTTCTTAATAACAGCACGCATATAATTAGCAGTTATTTAAGTATAAGGAGGAGACGTGGAGTGCAAGGTTTAAGTTCATGATGGTGGCGTGCAAGAAAGATGCATTATATTTCCAGTTATTATGTGGTTTTTAACACTTGACCTTGCATGCATTTTAGGGAACTTAAAATTCAACCAACTTAAATTTTTTCTTTTACCCAAAAAAAAGGAAAAAAAAAAGAAAATGCAGCTTTAGGGAAGAAAATTGACAAAGTTTAAAATAAAATAAGGTTTGTCAATTTTTAGAGTTATGATCAATATATATAAGATTGAAAATTTGGTGGTAATTACAATATCATTCGGCATCTGTTTCAGTCAGATGAGACTCGTCATTTTACTTGTCTCGTCAAAACAGTCGTACTCACAAAACTAGTAGTCCAATCGGGTTTCATTTACCCAAACTATTTCCCATTCGAATTAATTTAGGTTGTTTTATGTTCAGCTTAATTTCAACATCGTGTGGCATCTATTTCATTTGAATCACCTACTGTTAAGATTTGACTCGAGGCGATTGTACCCGTTAAATTTCAACCCTATCGGAACCAGTTTGCCTACTCAATTTTCTATTTCAAGTTGTTAAAAAGCGAATTCAATTTTCGGCTCGTATCCAACCCATGGTCGCCTGTGTCCAACCAGTCGTAAAATCAGATAATCCAAATTTTATTTTGCCCTTCATATTATTAGTACCCATTATATATATATATATTTGACTTAGTATACTAAATTTAATTTTAGTGAAAGTAGCACAATGCTAAAATCTGGCTTAAATTGGTGAAATGTGGTGGTTTATCTTTTGTTTTTCATCTGAAATTGAAATTTAATTTGCCAATTGATTTAGTATTCCTCTTGAAATGTTATATTTAAATTATAGTGGAGTTTCATTACACAGAAGATTAGAAGAGCAATATACAATATATTGGGGCGTTGGTCGGCTGTGTAAGGGACGTTGGTCGGCTCCGGTTCTGGTTGTCGGTTTCGTTGTCGACGAACCTATTTTGGAGCGTTGATCGGAGCGCGAAGGGCTAGGGTTTTGGGTGTTGGTTTTGTTGTCGACAAACTTGGTGCTGGCCTGGGTGTTACCCCAAGTGTCAACTTATTATCCTGTTGAGATCAAACACTCGGGTATTACCCTATTGGGGTCGGCTCTGGGCGATCTTTGACCTGTCCTCTCAGTTTATTCAGTTGTTGGTTGTTTGTATCCAACTGTTGATTGTCTGTATTCATCTCGTGGCTGTTTTTGCACATTTGTGCCTTTTTAATAAAATCTCTACCGATTTGAAAAAAAAAAAAAAAAATACAATATATAGGGGCTAAATAGTGAGCTTATAAATGTGTTCGCATTACTTACCACTAATTGCCTTTGCATGTTTAGTGAGTAGCATGTGTAATTATCACATAATTGATTGTACAATTCCAGTTAAAGACAGACAACATCATATTAATTGCACAAGTCACAACATTGAATTTAATTTCACCCTACAACTTTAGGATCACAATCTAATCTACCGTAGAAAAAGGTCAACTCATTAATTTTTTTTTTTTTCTCTAAACCATAGAAATTTCATTAAAGAAAACACATATATACATCTAGAAACAGCTCAAAAGCCGAAGGAACGGCTCAAAAGCCGAATCTAGTGGGAGGACATATCCAAAGGATAGCCTATAAGCTCAATTAGAGCAACGTACTCACCCACTAAAAAACAGAAAAAACACAAAAAACAAGCACAAACAAACTCCACAATTGGAGAAAGACCCACCAACAGGAAACCCCTCCCCGATGGGAGAAAGTGCGTTCCCTCCCTCAGGAGAGAACGCACTTATACCAACCAAACCAACCCACCAAAACACCAACCCACAAAGACCACAACAAAACACACAAACAACAAAACAACACTAGACAAAAAGCACCGAAATAACACACTAGAAACACAAGTTAAAACTAAAGCACACAACTAAAACTACTAAATAGCCCTCCCACAGTGGTTGAACATCTCCAAGCTACGCAGCGACAACGTGAAGGATTGCCATCCAACTGGACCAAGCCACGGCCCCGGAATCGAACTCAGAAACTGCAATCAAACGCCTAACTAAGCCCAAAGCCAACAATCGGACTCATATCCGGACGACCATCCAAACCCTAGCTCGGAAATCTACATCGCAACCACCCACCACCGACACCAACGACTAAGCCCAAACCAATGAGGCCTGGACCCCGGTCTGGCCTCAACGACCACCCCTCCAACCAACACCAGGAAGGAGAAAGGCCCGGTGAGAAGCGACGGGCACCAACTCATTAATTCATAATATCAATATTGTAGATAAATATTTATGACAATTTCTTTTTTTTTTCCCTTTTTTTTTTGATGATGTGAACTTTGAAGTGGACAAGTTGTCACTATAAATTCTAATATTCTATAATTTCGTTGGAGTATCAATATTATTAGAATATTCACTTGTAATTCCTTAATAGAAAGCTCAAGCACATATATGGGGCTGGGTGTCGAATCCTTACTAGAAACAGGCTCCCATAAATGGGTACATGTGGAAAAAACAAGCACGTCATCGCACGGTCCCAATAGATACGGCTCTGATATCATGTAAGAAACAGGGGGAAAAACGAGTGCGGTCCACACAGATAAAGCGCAACATAAACAAGGAAAGCCCAAATGAAGCCTAAGTGGGGTTCCACTCCAAATTAAAAACCAATTGGTGGTAAGAAAATAGGGAGAGTAGACATAATTTATAGTGAAAATAGCTATTTTCACCCCGTTTTGAAGTCCAACTAAGTTTTTCACACCACCCAATAAAAAGTTAAGTTTTTCACCCCAGAAAGTGCGAAAGGCATTGCGCGATGAATATGCGACAATTGCGCGATGACATTGTGCGAAAGTTAAAAGTGCGAATGCATTCACATATTCCTTCGCACTTTTAGGGTAAAAAAAAATTAAAATGTGAAGGCATTGTGCGATGAATATGCGACAGTTATGCAATTGATATGCGACAGTTATGCAGTCTATTCGCATAACCTTCGCACTTTCCGGGGGTGAAAAAGTTAGATTGTTAGTGGACGGTGTGAAAAACTTAATGTATCTTTGTATTGGAGTGAAAAAGAATTTTTCCTTAATTTATAAGTCTAATGGGATACCCCTCCTTCCACCAATTGGTTTTGGAATGGAACATCATTTGGGCTTCATCTGGGCTTTCCCTCTCATGGTGCGCTTCACGTGCGTGGGACCGCACCCATTTTTCCCCTGTTTCTTACATGGTATTAGAGTCGGTTCTATTGGGACGTGCGATGATGTACTCGTTTTTCCCCCATTCCACCAATTAGTTTTGAGATGAATTAGTCCGTTGGACTTATAGATTAGATCATTTTCCATATATGAACGATATAGGACAATTCACAAGTGAATATCTAATAAATATCATAAAAATTTATATAACAATTTCATTGTAGTATCAATCTCACAAAATTTATTTATTTATTTATTTATTTTCCAGAGGCTATAATTGTTTGATGATCCCACACAAGAAGGTTATAGTTCTTGGGGCGAAAAGACAAAAATGTCCCGCCATTCCAAAATGTTAATGTGATTTAGAGGGGTCAACTAACATGACATTGCTTGAGGAATATAATGAAATAATCACATGTCCTTTTGTAATTGTTGTTTTTGTCATCTTATGTTGCCACTCCACGAGTGATGCTTTTAATGGTATAGTGCCACCATTTTTTACTGATTAATTTTGACAGTATATAAGTGAAAAATTATGATTTTAATTGGGGTTTTGTTTATATATATATCCCTACATACTTTTTAATATATGTCGTTTTGAGAAGTTGCACACTAATTAAGAATATTTTTTTTTTGGTCAATAATAACCTTATTTAATGAAGATAGAGATGAATGTTTTGAGAAAAAATGAAGAGTGAATATGAAAAGACGTAATGTATTTATTAGCTAAATGAGGGTAATAATGGAAAAATGTGTACAAAAGATCCAAAACGACATTTATTTAGCAAATAGTTGATAAAGGTAGAATGACATTTAAAAAAAATAGGAAGGAGTAACATATAGTATTAGAAATTAAAAACATTAAATGTAAATATCACATTTAATATTACATGCAATACTCATTAATTGAATAATCGTGACAGCTATATTAATTGATCTTTTGTGGCATGGCTCCAAAAAGGCAAAAACTCATATTAAACCTTACTACCAAATTAATTATTTATAATAACAATATTTTTCAATGTATTAACTAATATCAAAATAGTTCCTTTTTTTTTTACTTAATAATAATTACACACATATTTATATATAGATTAATAATAATAATAATAATAATAATAATAATAATAATAATAATAAATTATTTTTACACTTTTAATTAAAGTTAAATATAAAAAGTGAATTTAACAGAAAATAGCATCAACGGAATAAATTTGGGGTATCCTATGTGTTGTTAATGTGACCTCTTGACCACGGCAGACCCAACGGCTCCATCCTCATTTCCGGGTCGTTGCCGCCAACTATGTCCCCTTATTATTACTTTGTTCCAAAAATAAAAATAAAAAAATAAAAATAAAAAACAATCTCAACAAAAAATGCGTATAATTAAATTAAAATTTACATAATGCAACGAACCAAAAAATTATTTTATATTATTTTTACAAATTATCCAATTTTATGATTTTTTTTTTAATTTAAAATAGTACTATTTTCCAATTTGTTTTACAATGGTGTAATTAAATATAAATTAATATAATTGTTAGATAGTCCTACTCCTCAATAAATACACATACATTTTAATTGAATTATCCTATTCTAGAAAAAAAAAAAAAATGATTGACTATGTGATATTTCATAATACAAATAAAAAAAATATGATTGACTATGTGATATTTCATAATACAAATATGCAGTTTTGTTAAAAGAACATATTCAACAAACAACGTATCTTTTATTATTCACTCACTCTCTAATTTAGGGCTGCAAACGAATCGAGCGATTCACGAGCCACTCGCGAGCGCTCGAGTTAAAGCTCGACTCGAGCTCGAGTTTGACCGAACTCGAGCGGTTCGAGTCTATATTTTGCATTGTCGAACAGCTCGTCGAGTGTTTCGATATATATGTTAAATTACTAAAATACCTCATATATATATATATATATATTTAAATAGCATAACATGTGTACTTAATGCTAATTTATTTTTCCACTTAAAAATTTTTAGCCGAGCTCGAAGATTTTGATTTCGAGTCGAGCTCAGACATCATAAATCGAGCTTGACGAGCTCGAGCAGCTAAATCAATCATTCTTGATAAGATCAATGCTCGACTGACTTGTTTGCAACCCTATCGTCTCTATAAACAATCTACATCAGTTTCCATCTCTCTTCTCTCTAGCCTTTCGGTGCTTAAATTCAATCACCTCTAAATTCCTTTTATTCATTTATTATCTCTTACTATTTTTTATTTTTTCTTTTATAACACTCAACACAAATGTCAATCTCAATGTTCCTCCTCACTCAAACAAAGCTCAAAAAGCTCATCTTCATTTTCCCAGTGAGCGACACAATTATCTCCCCTTTTT